TTTGATCTATAAAAATTCAATTTGCACACAGTTTTCGATGGGTTTTCCTGTACTATAGAGCAAAGGGTATGATAATTGTTTTATTAACCACTGGCAATATCATAGTGCAGAGAGGTTATATGAACTCGTATTTTTAAAACCTGCTCTTTATGAGATGCAGTATACTTCTATGGTTTTAGTTCAGAGTTTATGATTAAACTATTTGAGTCTAAATCCAAATGTTGCCTCTACTTGCTGTGTTATCTTGAGTAAGCCGACTGACCTTTCCGTTTCTCAGCTTTGACCCATAACCCCCTATACAAAAGAAGAAAAAATGGCAATTAAAATTAACCTCTCTCATAGGGCTGTTATTAGGATCAAATTGGATAGAACACTAGAAGTGCAGTGCCCAGCACATTGGAAAAACAAACAACCCTTCAGAATGTCAGCTATCGGGATTACTGTGAGTCTTCCTCTCTCATTGTTGTGTATGTGTGTGCATTCATTTTGTGTGGTTTGGTAGTGGCAACAGGACTTGACATCAACAACAAGCACGATACCGTTCTTACTTCCTGTCTGCCTTCCTACTGAGAAGCATGTCTTCTCCAACTCTTGGTCTGGGTGGGACTGACCTGGTCCCTGGGTTCTGGGATTGTCACATGGCCCACACTTAGCCAATCACAGTATTCTATCCCTTGGTCAAAGTCCTATAGTCTCAGAGGGGCACATGATCCAAGTGAGACGCTTGAGCATCAGCCCCTAGTGTGGCAGTTACATAATCTCCCATCAACTTGCAAAGGGGTGGAGTCTAACCTGTCAATCAGGTCGCTGCTTGATGACCTCATTTGGAGGCATGGAGGTGACTAGCTCACTGGCGGCCAGAGACACGCTCTGCCTTCATCTTCCTGCTGACAAGCCACATGGAGCTGCACTGGTAAGATACAGAGCCCTGGCGCTGGAGGATCCACATGGAGACCCAGACCAGCACCAAGATGCTTCCATCACCACTGGATCCACAAGACTTTCCACGCACTGGCATGCATGTAGTCTTCCTGCATTTGACATTATTGCGTGATTGCATGAGTCTAAAGAGGAATTGTATAGACTAGGGGTTGACATATGGGCTAATATTGGATTTATGGACTTGATCTGGACTGGGCGGGGATGTTTCTCAATCGACAGTTGCCCTCTTATATAAAGCTCTTTCTTATACATGTGTCCCCTTGGCTCCATTCAAAGCGGCTGCTCTAGGCGTCTCGGCCTTAGGTGCCGGCTTTTTACCTTAAGCCAATTTGAAGTGGCTTTTCTGTCTGTTTCACCCAAAGGCTTCTGGGGAATACAATTAAGTGGGCATATCCCGTGTGCCTCGAATGACACTTAACCTGGCGAATCTCGGTCTTGCAGAGAAGACGCCGCAGTGAGGTCACAGACTTGAATTGCACCCTTGGTTCTGCCTTTGGCCAGTGGAGGATTATTTTCTGGGTCCTGGAGTACTTGGATGTCAAGCGAGAGAGGTGAGTGAAAATCAATCTCTAAGATCCCTTTTCAGTTCTAACATTCGACAAGGATCTATTATTCTTGGGTTCATTTCAGTTGCGTATGCTGTGGTATAATTGGTTACCGATTCTCATAGTTTCCTGCTTCCTTGTGTTTCAACTAAAAAAAACCCTCTATGACAATCCCTCCCACCCCCACCTTATACTCCAGGGAGCTATTTCTTCCCTTTCAACTTCCTTTTAAGAGACATGTTTATTTGTGTGTACTTGGACATAATGATTTCATTTTTGGTTCCCATTTCTATATTTTTAAATCCAACTAAGGTGTTAAGTTCCTTGAGTGTTGAAAGGAAAGTCTTCCTGTAGGTGTAAATATTTTTTTCCCCTCTTAATTGCCAACTGAGGTGCTGGTTTTTACACAGCAGCAGAATATAGGTTTTACTTATTTTGAGCAGGAAATGGGTCTCCAACCCACACAAAATAAATGCAAAATATTGATTTTCCCAAGTCTGCACCTGGCTGACGCATTCATAACACCAACTTGAACTGAAATTCCCCGACAGAAATGCAGGGCAGTACCTTCCTGATACGATCATTGATGACAAATGGGGACATAAGCAAATGTGGCAAAGAAGCTGATGACGCCTGGCTATCAAAATATAGTGCCTTTAAGGTCTTAAAGGCTTGAAGGTAAACAAGCAGCCATCTAACTCAGAAGCAACAAAGCCCACATGGAAGAAGCACACCAGCCTGTGTGATCACCAGGTGTCGAAGGGATCAGGTATCAGGTATTATCAGAACAAAAAATCTTATCGTAGTGAATGAGGTGGTAAGCGCAGAGTGGAGACCCAAAGCCCATTTGTAGGCCACTGGAGATCCCCTTACGGAAGGGTCTTGAGGAGACAGCCAGTCAGGATGCGATGTAGCAACAATGACATACAACTTTCCTCTAGTTCCTAAATGCTTCCTTCCCCCCACCCCTACTATCATGATCCCAATTCTACCTTACAAATCTGGCTAGACCAGAGGATGTACAGTGAGGAACTAGAAACACAGGGAATCCAGGGCGGATGATCCCTTCCGAACCAGTGGTGGGAGTGGGGATACTGGGAGGGTGGCGAGAGGGTGGGTTGGAAAGGGGAACCAATTACAAGGATCTACCTATAACCTCCTCCCTGGGGGACAGTCAACAGAAAATTGGGTGAAGGGAGACGTCGGACAGTGAAAGATGTGACAAAATAATAATTTATAAATTATAAAGGGTTCATGAGGGAGGGGGGCGCGGGGAGGGAGAGGAAAAAAGAGGACCTGATGCCAGGGGCTTAGGTGGAGGGCAAATGTTTTGAGAATGATGAGGGCAATGAATGTACAAATGTGCTTTACACAATTGATGCATGTATTGATTGTGATAAGAGTTGTATGAGCCCCTAATAAAATGATTTTAAAAAGAAAGAAAGAAATGCAGGGCAGCATCTGTGCCCCCAGAATGGCAGGCTGAAAACGGAGCATTAGGCGACTGTCCTGTGAGGCTCCCTTACAGATTATACATCATCTGTTCACTTCAGGCTGATAAACTAGGCTTTCTCTTTTATGGTGGGACTTGGGCCTGAACTGAATATTATAGTTACATGTCACATTCATTGATTTTAAATAACTTGATAGTTCTCGACTTAGAAGGAGTCCTGAATGAATGTGGACTGTTGACCCGTGATCTACAGACAAGACCACCCAGAGAAAGAGGTCCTTCAAGAAGAGGTGGTAAATGCCAGGTCCTGCTTAATAGCATAGTCCATCCCTGTCCATCAAGACTACGTATGGCCAGAAACTCACACTCTACCTTGAAAAAGAATGCTTGGCGAGTTCGGTATAGTGGTTATGCTTTGCGGGGGGAGGACTGCTAAATCAATTTTCTGACGGTGAGTTTGATATTGATTTTATAACAAAGTAATTGGGAACCAGGGGTTTCAGGATTAGTTGGCCAATACTGTTAAGAGTACCATCCCTCCATTAACAGTACCTGCTGTGTTCCCAGCTGATTTCCTGTGGGATTGGCCTGGAGGATACTTGCCGGTGGCACCTGAACCCACATGCTACCTTGTTTATATGGATTGCAATGGAGGGGCCTTTCTGTCTGAATATTCTAAGCCCGAGTCTTACATTCGTTTGCATTGGGTCAGCCAAGGCTACCTGTTCACACCATCAGTCAATGGCTGTGGCTGGGCATGGACTGACTTGATTGGAATCGATGACACCTGGGATGCTTCCCCAGAAAATCAGAAACATGAGGTTATAGAAAAGTAAACTAAAACCTGACAAAGCTAGGAAGGGTGTAGGGAGGGGAAGGATGTCGGCTGGGCTACTGATAAAGGTTCACTGTAGTTCGTGAGTCTCAACAGAGAGCCAGTCTCCCAACAGAGCACGATTGCTTGGCTATCAGGCTAGCCCCTCTCCAGTTGATCTTCTCCCCAAGGCCATGTAAAACTGAAGAACACTTGGTCTGTAAATAATTTTTAGAACCTCGTGGTTGGCTCACAGGGTACTTGGTTTTTCGCTTCAGCTTTGCACAGGACGGCAGCCATGTGCCATGAATCCAGAGTCCCCTTAAGGCAGCACCTGCACACAGGGGGCCTTCAGCAAATCCCGAAATGATGCAATGACTGAAGCAGAACACCCACAAGAGCAACACCTGACAGACACCTGTACGCCGGCCTTCGACCGGCCTGGGCCAAGTCGCTGAACTGCTATTTCATTGTTCTCCAAGTTTGAAAGTACCGAAGAGAGAATGCAAGTACTGACTTTCTTTTTGTGGTATATCTACTCTGTAGTAAGGCATGTGTATGTGTGTATATGTATGAATGTATATATATGTGTGTGTGTGTGTGTGTGTGTATCAAACCTCTTATCAAATGTTTATTAACCACTAAACAAATTTTAATTTATTAAACTGTTTTCTTCTGCACTAATAAAACACTTTATTATTTGGGAGAGAGGATGGCTTCGCAGAGAAAAGCTAAGTCAAGCTTGGAAAAATGCCAAGGCCTAAATTTCTAAATGTTTTTTTTTTTCCACAAGAAAAATTCCCTTCCTCCCCTTTATATTCACAACCCCCGCCCCGCCTCCCCAAGATTGTTCCTACTGTTAACATTCATGCCTCTCGCCTCATTTTATCCTGACTGATAGAGGCAAAAAGGCCTGTACTCCCATTGTCAAGGAGTACTGAGTGGCCTGTGTGATGTGACCGAGGGACACCGTGCGTTGTAATGACCCAGGATTCCACAGCTGCCATCGAGACATCTAGATCCTGCCTTTTCACCAACCACTACTCAAGCTCGATTGGAAAATCTCCACACTTCCTCTATTCTCGTGTCATCTCTGTTGACACGGACCCTTGGCAATGTATCAGTACTATCAGGACTAAATTCCACGTGCTGCCGGCCTCCACCTTTCGATTCTGGATGCTGAGCCAATCGTATAGATAACACAAATCGCGGGAGGGGAAAAAAAATAAATCGAGACTCCACTTACATTCTTTGGACATTCCCACTTCAAAGCACTTCTGGAGCCGACAGTACTGGCATCGATTCCTGGTGACTTTATTAATAACACAGTTCTTATCTCGGTGACAAGTGTAAATCATGTTCTTCTGAATACTTCTACGGAAAAACCCCTGCAAGCAAGCAAGCAAGAGGATGAGAGGACTAAGTAAAACATCTGGGCCTCGCAAAAAATCAAAGACAACCTTATCAATGCATTGATGACTCCTTTTTGAGTCATGAAATAATGGTGGCAGAAAAAGTTAACTTGTTTTAACCTTAAGACCCTTGTGAAATATTAATAGCAGCTCTCGCTTTGGTGCAGGCCAGGAAGTCCCTTTTAATCAAAACTAGACACGACTGTTACGAGCCTCCAAAGGTAAGTTACTGCCAAGAAGACGCACTTGGAAAACATAATGTAGAGTTGGGTTCCTTCCAGAGAGGACTTAAACTTCAGGATAGGCTCTCTTGCTGGCCAGACCAATTTCAGGTGAAGCTGCTATCAGGAAACCCAATATGGGAGGCACTACATTTACAAAAGAAATTAGTTGCCACGTGAAAGAATGTCTCAAAGTGTCTTCCCCAAATTCCTTTACATATATAGCTCCTGCTATAGAATTTAAAACATGATTTAATTTGCAAAGTATTGAGAAGATAATCCCAAATTGGAAATTACCAAAAATCCCAAACCAAACTCACTGCCATCGACTCAATTCTGACTCATGACACCCCCTATACAGAAGGGAAGGGGAGCGCTGCCCCTGTGATTTACCAAAGTTGTAATTTGTTATAGGAGTAGAAAGCCTCATCTTATGGCTCATCTTGCAGCCATGGGCCCATGAAACAACATATCAGAACTGTGTGGTCCAATATGGTGTCCACTAGTCACATGTAACTATTTGGAAACAGTTAAAAGTAGGTAGAATAAAAAATTCGATTCCTCTGGGACACTAGCCACATTTCAAGTGCTCAAGAGCCACATATGGCCAATGGTTACCCGAATGGACGGTGTATCTCTAGAATACTTCCGTATTGACAGGAAGTTGTATTGGAAAGTGCTCTACTACAACACTGACTGACGAGCCCGCCTAAGAGTCATCGGACCCTCCAGAGAAATGGAACTTTGACTGTGCCCTCCTGGTGAAGTGGGTGATGCACTGAACTGCCAACCACAAGGTCAGTGGCTTGCACCCACCAGCGGCTCTGAGAAGGAAAGAAGAGATTGCTCCCATGAAGACTGACAGGCTCAGAAACACATGGGGCAGTTACATTTGCCCTATAGGGCTGCTAAGACTCAGAATGAATCCGACAGCCGTGGTTCGTTTTGCTTTTGTTTTTGTGTTTTGGTTATTTACTATTGATAGGACACTACAAAGAGATTAGAGAAGACTGGTCCACTACACATAATTTTGATTCAGTATAGGTAGGTGCAAAGGCTGTTTGCCTGGTAGGAAACATAACACGCCAGTGGTTAATACTTTATTGCCAGTAGGACATGTCAGTTTGCTGTTTGACGCTGCAATTTTATTGCAGCATTCTTTTTCCCTTCCTATTTTGGCCCCATATCCATATCCATATCCATATCCATCCATTCACCCACCTACCTAATCTTATCTTATCGTACCTATTTATATTATCTACCAGGGCAGATCAAAAAGTATTGCTACACGGGGTGCAGTTCAGGTAGGCATGGGTTTATTCCAACCAAGACATGTTTAATCATGTCACTGCGATCAAAGGAAGGCTACAGTCATGTTTCCTCAGCAATACACTTGTCTTGAGCTCATTAGGATTCCTTTAACAAACAGAAACAAGGGACACTCGCAGTTAGCCCGGCCAAGGGGCAGTGGAGGTCACCCCCAGGAGGCGAGGCAGGGGCAGCATGGCAGCCTCCTTTCAGTTCCTAGGAGCTGCCTCCAGTCTCCATTACTGGGGCCTATGGCAGTGGCCTGCTGCGGCCGGCCTTGCAGTGGTGTGTTCTAGGTCAATGGCAGCTAAGACTCCAGTGGGATTCACTGGACTGCGCAACATGGGGAATCCAACGGCAAAAAGCCTGATGCAGCACGGCTATCTACTCATCATTTCTGATGTCTTCCCCGAGGCCTGCCCAGGGTTTCCAGATAACGATGAATAGGGAGAAAAGTCTTTAGAGGGGCTTTTGTGAAGATTGGAGTGATGGATTCTTTTATGAAAGGAGAATTTGAGTCAAGGATTGAACCCCTGAGCTCTTCCGACTTCCTCTGTTGTTGACTGACAGGTGGATCAAGGTAGTGTCTCCCCCAGCTGATGTCGCTGCAAAGCTGACAGAATCATTACAATGCTTCCGACCAGTATGAGTGCAATGGAAGTTTATTCTGGAGCAAATGGAATTCTAAAACTTAGGAACGCGAAGAAAGGTCCCTTACTAATAGATTCCAGAACTCTTGGTCCATCAGTTTCAAAAACATTGGCTAAAGAAGGTGAGAAAATGGGAGCGGTTTTCATGGACGCCCCTGCGTCTGGTGGTGTGGGAGCTGCCCGATCCGGGAACCTCACATTTTTTGATGGAAGGAGTTGAGGAGCAATTTTCTGCTGCCAAGTAGCTGCTGGGGTGCACGGGCTCCAATGTGTTGGACTGTGGAGCCGTTTGCACTCGGCAGGCTGCAAAGACCTGCAGCAACACGCTACTCGCTCTTAGTATGACTGGAACTGCTGAAGCTATGCATCTTGGAATCAGGTTAGGACGCGACCCAAAACTATTGGCTAAAATCCTAAGTCTGAGCTCCAGACGGTGTTGGTCAATGACACTTACAATCCTGTGCCTGGAGCGATGTTACAGCTGAGAACTACTAGGGCGGATTTGGAACACTCATGGCCAAGGATCTGGGGTTAGTACAAGACTGCTACCGACACTGAGACCCTGATTCTTCTGGGCAGTCTGAAGGGCTACTCAAAGAAAGCCTTCTCATTTGTGTGCCAGTTTCTTCACGAGGGGGAGACCCTGTGAGGTTGTCCTTGGGTGTGGACACTGGCAGAAACTAGACTGTATCTTGGCACGTCTCCTTATAGGTCACTCCAGAAGTAAATGGGTTTAATCAGAGGTCAAACGTCTACTCCAGGTATCTAGTAAATCCTAGGATTCTCCCACTCATTTTTAACTTCTGTTTCTTTTAGCATATTCAGCAAACATGTTTCTCTGTATTTCTTTTCGACTAAAGTCACTGATGGGTTCTACTGTAACTAGCTAGTTTACCTAAAAAACCAAAATTGATCTGTTTATATTCAGTTAAACTGTTGAGTTCTTCAATCAGGATATTGTCTACTTTACGATTTTTTTCAATCCAGTGAGATTCATCTTAAAGGAAATAAATCGGTGTTAGAATAAGGAAGTAATGAATTACTTCTTGCATCTCATAAGAATTTTATCCTGTTACTCTTCAGACTTTTTTTTTGCTTCCTTGTGCAGTCTTATGACACACTGATATATTTTGGGGCTTCAGAAGAATGACTTCTTTACACCTGCTCCAGAGCCACTGATGATATTCTAAATATAACCATATTATTTTGAATATCTATGCTGATCATGAAAAAAAGCAAGTAAAAAGACAATCCAAATAGTGACTTCCAAGGGGAAACTGCTGGGTAGAGAGGTCAGCTCAGAAGGTTAGGATGATTATTTGGTTTGGTTTGGGGTGGGGGCGGTTCTGATGGGGGACTCTCGATGGAGTTTTCACAAAGGACACTGGATAGTCACAGGGCTTATTAGGAAGGTGTTTTAAGAAAATTGTACTGCTAAGAAACGTCCAGGAAAGTTACACCAAGTATCCCCCTACCCTACCATGCCAATGTACCTGCTCACTCTTTTGAGGGTAGCAAGGGTTGGCCTAAGAGAATGGACTGATTCCATCTATCTCATCGCCCTGGTCTTTCCTTTCAGACTTCTTTTTGTTCTTAAAACTCAAGGTATAATGGAAAGGACCCGATGCGAGTCCCTCAAGTGCCCCAAGAGCCTTTCTGACATGGTGTACATGGAAGAACACAGCCTTCTTCAGGGTAGGGTTAGAAACACGAATGCTGAGAAACAACGCGTATGCTGAGAAACAACGGCTCCACATTTGCTATTTGTGTGCCATCAAGGTTTCCATGAGTTGTCAAGAACGGTTCTTGACTTATCCGCAGTTTGTTTTCCTTTTCCTTCCAACCTACCCATCCTGACCATTTCCCGATGTGGTCCTTTGAGCAAGCTATGCCATCTTACTTGCAATGCATATTTGAATGAGATCATTGTTAACTTTTTGACTATTGTCCTCTGGCCACAGTGGCAACGTCTCATGCTTTTCATGCCAGGCTGGTGAGATAAAGCTGACTCTAAGATCTCCGAGTCCAAGGCCTCCAGCTCTCTGCCCTCCGACTTCCATGCTGTTTGGCAAATATTCGATAACTCAGGCACCGTTGTGGAACACACGGATGAATAAAGACCTGGAACAAGGCGGATAGCTTCCATCTTTGCCCTCTTCTAATAGCCTGACAGGAAAGGACTGCTTGGTGGCTCCGAGCATTGTCAGCAAGGACCTTCACCAGGCCCACTGTGATGGGATGCTTGCGGCCCGGGGAAACCGTTCTCTCAGATGTGAGAACCACTATCGCCACATGTGCTGAACAGAAAATAAGGCTCGTTATCCGAGTGCCACTCTCCCCGTGGCACATTCACACACCAGGAGAGACTAACACGCATGAGCCAAGAAAGCTCATGCACCCCACACGGGTTAGCATATTTACACGGGCACCCTGGGCTTTTAATGTCTAAACAAACATACTTTCACTGGCATGGTTCAACTGCAAATGCCTGGAAATCTTGTTTAAGGCTGAAAGCCTTGTCACAGATCCCAGACACACACGTTTTCCAGGAAAAAACGACTTCTTTCGGTAACTCCGGAGCTACAAATAGGCTCAGAATCTAAAATGACAGGTTACAAATATTCTGAAACCCTCCCAGAATCTGTGCCTACCCAAACGGTCACCTCAAAACGTACCTTTCCCTGTAAAAATAAAAAAAAAAGAAAGACGGACTGGACTCTGGGGCTGCCAGATGGACAAAGTCCATTGACCGAAAGCTGCATTGCTCTCAGGCCAAGAAACACCGACACAGCGGAAG